CCCTCCAACCATGACGATTTCTTTTGAATCAAGTCTTCATGATCAGATAATAAAGGAGTCTTTCCATCTAGGCTTAAACTACTCTTGGAACGATTGACAAAACTTGAATATATCAAACTCGGTGTTCGGAGAACAGCTGCTCCAATATTCGGCGATGCAGCAATTGTGTATGAATCGACAGTCTCTCTATCATAAGAAATCCAAGAATAACAAAAAAGAAAAGGCACCAATCAGTGAGTTAAAGCGGAAGACTAGGTTCATCAGGTTTGCTGAAATAAGTGAAAAAAACTGGACATCAAATGCGAAAAATAATTCTAACGCCTCTTATTAAGTAATCTAAAACATCGGTCCCCCTCCGAATTCGTTATTCTCATCGGGGCCCATAAAATGCTTCACGAGTACCGAATATCAACTTAATGAGCATGATTCGAGGAATTTCAAGGTTTCTAAAATGCATTGTAAAAAAACGGTATTGAGAAGTTATCATGGGGAGATAGATGCACAAAGAGACAAGTCAGAGAAGACTTTACTTGTAACTCTGGGGCCATTGCTGCGATGAGAAAGTGTCAGGCCCACCATTGCCGTCGTCGTCGCTTCCGCTGTCACTACTACTCTCAATGACAAGCTTGGTAGATTCATCGTCATCGTTGGCATCCTCTTCGTTCTGATCGAAGAAAAACTCGGCATCTTTCTGCTTCTCGTCGCTAGCCATCGCAGATGAACTTTTTAAGAGAAACCAATTAAAAAAAAAAAAGACGCAGTTTTGAAGAACTCCAAACAGAAAAGCGGAAGATAAAAGTAAAAACGAAGCAACGCGGAAAGGAATATAATGCCTGATAACGGATCAGTAATATCGAGAGCAATGAAGGCATACATGTGGGTGCAGACAGAATTCTAGAACGTCGGAGAAGGCAAAGCTGGCTATTGGCGTTTGAGAGCTGGGAGACTCAAGTGGTTGTATTGTATTGTGAGCCGCGAATTATAGGGAAGGAGGAGCTGAGGTGGCGGTTAGTTATCATCAGCGGGAAATCAAATCAGTGGCGACAGAAGAAGACAAGCCTGTGCGTACGCCCACGCGCTTAAACAAATGAGCGTTCTTTGATCCGATCCGCCTCTTACGCTACTTGCCTTGTTCGATTTAGCTACTTCCCATTTATATCCTTGTATTTTTTTACTAATTATGACATCTTGTTTGTATAATCAAAACGGAGGTAGTACATTCATGCCTACGTTACCTTGAGCTGCACAGCTTATTTTTTTCAATCAGGAGTCCAGACTAGTTAATCTTAGCCCCCGATTCTTCCTATGAGTTGGCTTGTTCGCTCAAGAATTTTTAATTCTTTTAATTAGGGAATTTTTTTAATGATTGTTGGCTGGTGATGAATAGTAGGGGAAGATGATAATGTTTTTCTGGTGGATGTCCTTATCCCATCTGCCATCAACCGGGGAAGATTCACGAGATCAAAAAGTTATCCCGTCTCAATGTTCAGAATGGGTTCATTTCATCCCAAATCTATTATGAACATCCTTGTTTTTTCAATGTAAAATAGAAAAATATATATTAAATTTTAGTTATTTAATAATTAATACTACATTCATTCTTTATACTTAAGTAGATAAAAAATTAAATTAGTTATTTTAATAAATATTTTTTATTATATTTAAATAATCAAATCTATTTAAATTTTTTTTTTAAAAATTACTACAAAAAGAGCGTAGAAAGGTATCTTTTATAGATAAGTGTGGAAGGTGGAAGGGAAAGAAGGATGGTTGAATTTATAATGGCGGCCAGAATACCTTAATGATCGTATATAGTGTTAAGTTTGTTATATTTCGCATCGCCCATGTGTCGACAAAATTACTACCCCTTTCATGTCGCCTTGCTTCCAATTTCTACGACTTCCTCTATCGCCCCCCCTATTTTCCCAATCATAGCCAGTCTCACCCGTCCTCACTCGTTGGGATTTCAAATTGGCTGTGTAAAAAAAAAAAAAACACACAAAGTCCATTCAAATAAGTTATGATGGATTAATGAGCCCCATCATCAGAAAAGTCCCACTGGTAGTAATTTTTTATTCACTTGCCATATATACTTTCTTCCCCCTTGAAAGCGTGTTTGTTACATTTTTTCTAGAAAGCGACTTCCTTATCGGTTTATCAAAGCCCACGTCGAGGCACGGTTGGCCATTCTCTCCACTTCTTCTCCCATCCTCTTCCCTTCCGCTACTCTTTTTTTCCCTCATAACTATTAGATCAAAATTTCAATGGTCCAGATTTAATATTTACAATATTTTATAAAAATAAATATAATTATAAAAATAGATAAATAAATTTAAACTGTAAAATCTAATTTGAACAGCTAATATCTACAGACTATTATTACAGAGCAATTTTTTTCAATTTTTTAATTACAGTTGTTAATGTTTAGACCATATTTTAACAGTTTAAATTTATTTATTTTTTTTTAATAATATTATTTTATAAGATGTTAAATCTGGACTATTGGAATTTGATCCATGGTTGTGAAGGATAAAAGAGGATAGTGGAGGGAAGAAGGGAGAAAGTGGAGATCCAAATCCGAGGCTCCAGGCTTAATATTAAAATCATTGTGATGCGTGTCACTCCGCCAAATCTGGGCTTTCACTATTATTGCCTGAAAATAAATAAAAGCGAGCAATTAAAGCCAGATAATCCAACGAACTTCATAAATACGAATAAATAAAGTGATCAGCGAATTTTGACTGTGATAGCGATCCATGCCACGCATCTCAAGTACCTGGCACTGAATTCTGAAAAGTGGAGCATGTGTCTGCCGCTGCCTACTATAGTCTGCAACAATGAAATGGATGGCTAACGAACTCGTTTAACATCCTCGAGATTTTATGACACATTGAATAATCCAAACATCTTTTCACACATACACGTCACTTGCTGGATATAAATTATAGTTAAATTAAATATTACACGTGCTATCTGTATATCACTGAACTCAAGGTGCTCATGGAGTGAGCGGTAATTAAGTTTAGCCTTTTTTTTTTTTTTTGCTGGCCACTGTATCTTTTTATTAGAAGCCATCCGTTCCAAGTATTGTTGATATTAAATATATTTACCTTTTCAGCAAGAATTCAAAGTTTGTGTCGTCAAGTCATGAGGAACTAAAGCAAGTTCTTCAAATATACCCAACCCTGTCCGGGCTTGGTCTGTAGAATAAATATACAAAAAACAGATTCTTGTTTGAAAGAATTACAATAAGGGCCTAGAAAAGGAAAATAACTATCAACAAATCCCAATGACTAGTTAAAAGTTGTCATTTTCTATTTTAAAATTTGTGTTATATACTGTTTAGATCTTTATTGGAATTTCTTAATAATTACATTTTTTTTTGAAACTTGATGGTAATTCTCGCTCCTTGTCTTCGGTTGCAACAAATAGGGCTTTAAAGCAGGCCTTTCTTTGAACGCTATCTCCAGAGTCTGTATCAATTAAAGGACTTTTCACTTTATTGGGCCCTAAGTCTCTCGGGTCCCTTGAGCTATCAACACCCAAGCTTCGCTTCCCCTGGCCCCAAAAATAAACAAGTAAAAGTTCCCCACCCCCACGATATAAGACTAGTACCAGTATTCATGGCCCAAAAAAGGGACTAGTGCGAGTATTAACTTGAGAGTTTATTAATATTAATATTCATATTAATATTTGCTTTTGGATGATTGTATGGGATCTGATTCCCCTGAGTTTTAATTTTTCTTGTTGGGCTTAGCCCTCTTTTGTACCAAAAAAAATATTAATATTCATATTGACATAGAAGGGCTAGTCCTTCACAAGATAGCGAACTAATATTCGAATCCTTATTGAGAGAGGTGTCCATATTTAGTACCTGACAGTGTCTCAATAGGATTGTCTCCAACAGGAAGATACCTATGTTTCAGCAAAAATATCAATATTGATATTGCATATGAATTTGAGACAAAACACAGTTCACTTCCACCGAGAAAACAATCCAGCGTTGAAAGTAGTTAAAACGCCATATTTGGCCTTATCTCCGAGCATTCAATGAATGAACCTGATCCTAAACTGATCATGAACCCCCTAGACCACCCATTTTGTCGCACCCTTCCAAGAATATAGGAAGATTTTAATGGTTTAATCAATCAAGTTAATCTAGTTAAATATTTAAAATCTGTTTAACAAATAACAGCCATCCGATTAATATGATTCCCAAGTCAGTTTATTTTGTAACGACAGGGTGTGATTTGTTTTCTTTTTTTCTTTTTATTTTTACCCGTTTGTTCCCTTTATTTTTGTTTTTCCAGCGGAACCCGCCAAGGAGATTAAATAATCAAATCAGTACTTGAAAATTCTCATTTGGTCAGAATCATCGGTTGGTTATTATTAAAGAAACTACATTTTTCTTTTTCTTTCTTTTTTTTCCCCCCATAGTCTGCTTGCCTGAATTGGAAAATTTGTTGATGGACAAAGGCGAAAAAGAATGGGAAAATCTGTTGGAGAATCCAAGGATAGTAAACAATCATACACTTTGATTTAGCGCTGGACTCCCCCACACATGTCGTGGTTCTTAGAGGTTGTAGGACATGAACGAGTCTCTCCCTCTCAATCGCAAAAATGCAATTACAAACATCGGAGGAGAAACTGCACGACACAATTCCTAACGTTTTGATTTCAAACAACTCAATTCATTGGCTTGGCCGGCAAGGCAAACCAGAAATTCGACGGGCAATGTGGTGATCATTCCCCGGGAGCATAAGAAATTTGAAAATATCACCACGAAACAGAGAGACCCATATAATTCTGACACTCCCCTTGAATGTTCTAGCATTGGTGGAACATCACAGGCTTGTGATGTTTCTGATTCCTGATTCATCTTGGTTGCGTGGGATGTGTGAAATATTCCTCTTAATTAAATTTCTTTACTTGGGCAGCTATGATTTTCCTTAGACAAGCTTAGATTTTAGCAAAAAGACAATTTCCAGGAGTAGAGAGAAATGATTGGTAGAGAAAGCGGAGTTATGAAGGCATGGGAATTCACAGTTCGAAAGACGCAAGCTGTTGCGAAGAAGCGAGCGAACAGCATATTCGGGTTAGGCGCAATGTACATGGCTCACTCAGACGAAGGAAACCACCACGAGGAAAACCCAGAAGCGTTCGAAATATATCTCGCCGAGAAGGTTCTTCCTAATGGAGACTACTACAAGGGCCAATGGGCAGATAGTTTCCCACATGGCCAAGGCAAATACTTGTGGACTGATGGGTGCATGTACGTGGGAGAATGGTACAAAGGCAAGACCATGGGAAGAGGAAGGTTCAGTTGGCCCTCAGGAGCCATATACGAAGGCGAATTTAAAAGTGGGTACATGGATGGAACAGGAAGCTACACAGCCCCTAATGGCGAGACCTACAAAGGACAATGGAGTATGAATCTAAAGCACGGCCAAGGAGTGAAGTGTTTTCTGAATGGAGATAGGTACGAAGGAGAATGGAAACGAGGGCTGGAGGATGGTCAAGGGAATTACGTTTGGAAGAATGGAAATCAGTATTCTGGAGAATGGAGGAATGGATGCATATGGGGAAAAGGGTCGTTTGTGTGGACAAATGGGAATAGGTATGATGGATATTGGGAAGATGGTTTGCCCAAAGGAAGTGGGAGTTTTCAATGGTCAGATGGTAGTGTGTACGTGGGCAATTGGAGTAAAGATCCAAAAGAACAAAATGGAACGTATTATCCAGCAGGGTCATCACAGGAGGCACATTTGGAGTGGGATCCTCAGGAGGTGTACAATGAGTTGAGTGAGTGTCAGGTTTGCCCAGGAGAGAAGGTTTCGATTTTGCCGTCTCAAAAGAAGCTTGCAGTTTGGAGATCCACGAAGACTGGGGATGGCAAGCCAAGAAGAAGGTCAGTGGATGGGAGGGTAAGTGTGGGTGTTGAGAGGCCATGTGATAGAATGAATTTATGGGATGGTGGTGTGGAAGTTCCTGCCATTGATGCTGATGCCACTTGTGATTCAACTCCTACTGCTGTCAAAGCATTACATGAGGACTTGATAAACATGCATATAGTTGATGATGCTATTTCAAGAGGGGGCCCACTTCCCAAGCTCAAAGCTCCTAGGAAATCTAAGAGGCAAGGAGAGATCATATGCAAAGGTCACAAAAATTTTGATCTCATGCTCAATTTGCAACTGGGAATTAGGTATTATTTTCATTCTTATATTGGTGTTTGCTGCGAAATCTGCCATGTTTCTGTTACATATATGGGTTTTGTGGTGTTTGAACTTTGAACAGACATTCTGTCGGAAGACCTGCCCCTTCTGCCTCGCTTGATTTGAAACCTTCGGCTTTTGATCCCAAGGAGAAAGTTTGGACAAGATTCCCCCCTGAAGGATCCAAGTATACTCCACCTCATTCATCCACAGAGTTTAGATGGAAGGATTATTGCCCTGTAGTTTTTAGGTATGGGCTCTTTTCTGCTTGCTCTTTTGGACAAAAATGATACCAACTTCTTAAGTTACCAATAATTCATATATTAGTTCATGCGTTCTAGTTGCCCGTCTTAAATATGAACAGTCCTCTAATCATCAACATATGTAACTTGGTCTCCCATTATAATCTGTCCTCAGGACTTTAAGGAAGCTATTCAAGGTGGATCCAGCTGATTACATGATATCCATATGTGGAAATGATGCCCTTCGTGAATTTTCCTCTCCTGGTAAAAGCGGCAGCTTCTTTTACTTGACCAATGATGACCGTTACATGATTAAGACAATGAAAAAAGCTGAAGTGAAAGTGAGTATTGCTCAAGCTGTACCCTACTTGAAATTGATGAGGATTGAGGCACTTTTTTTTTTCTTTTTCTTTTTATTGACTTATTTGGCTGTGTTTGGATTTCAATTGTAGGTGCTCTTAAGAATGCTTCCAGCCTATTACAACCATGTCCGATCCTTTGAAAATACATTAGTGACTAAATTTTATGGTCTGCACTGTGTAAAGTTAACTGGAGCTGCTCAGAAGAAGGTGCAATTCTTATTATTGCTGTGAAGATGCAGATTAGCATATTCTATAAACTTATCAGACATTGTATGTGATTTTTTCAGGTTCGATTTATCATAATGGGAAACCTATTCTGTTCTGAGTACACCATCCATCGGCGCTTTGACTTGAAGGGTTCTTCACTTGGCCGTATCACAGATAAGCCCGAAACAGAGATTGATGAAACCACCATCCTTAAAGATCTTGATCTTAATTTCATATTCCGACTTCAAAAATCTTGGTTTCAGGAGTTTTGCAGGTAACAGAAGATTTCATTCTTTTTCTCCATTCTTTTTTTTAAATATTTCAAAGACAATAAATGTTATTTGCTTTTTCCATCCTCTAATTAATTAGACTAAGCACGCTGGTCATGTTTTTCCCCACAGGCAAGTTGATAGAGACTGTGAGCTTCTGGAACAAGAGGGGATAATGGACTACAGCCTGCTAGTGGGTATTCATTTCAGAGATATATCAGAAGATGGGGACCTTATTCCTTCAGAGTCTTGTAATCCTACAGGTGGTTCTATTGTATGCTTCTATGAAGTACTCTGCAACATTTTTATGCAACGTTTATATTCTGCTGAACTAATAACGAACCTGTTACTCTCTTCAATCTCAGGTGATACGGAGGGCGGTGGAACTCCTCGCATGTCAAGAGCAGACATGGACCAACTTCTTCTAGATCCTTCAAGGTAAAATTTATGTTAAAAAATGTTGTCTTATGCCATAAAGACTACACTCATAAATGTGCTTATAACAACGCAATGGGGTATTTTCAGGTGGGCTAGCATCAAATTGGGTGTGAATATGCCAGCTAGGGTGGAAAGAACGGTGAGAAGAGGGGATTGTGAATTACAGCTTGTTGGAGAACCAATTGGAGAGTTCTACGAGGTTGTGTTGTTTTTTGGTGTGATTGACATACTCCAAGACTATGACATAAGCAAGAAGCTTGAGCATGCATACAAGTCCTTTCAATATGATCCAACCTCAATATCAGCGGTTGACCCCAGACAGTACTCAAGACGTTTCCGTGACTTCATATTTAGAATATTTGCCGAAGACACTTGAAGAAACACATCAACCATCTCTTCACTCTTTTTATCCTCCCATGCCACCCCCTTGGACTCACTTCAAAGCCTAAAGTTTCAAAACTCTAAGTTTTCAATCAGTTGGGTGGCCAGACGTGACTTGGTATCTCACTCCTTCAGACTAACTTTCCTTCAACTATTCTTTCATTACATTCATTTTATGTATTATATGTAGTGGCTATGTCATATTTCTGAACAAGCCAGGGAACACACTCACACGTGTTGGCTAATTTGACAGAATACCTATAGACTTTCTGACTAATTCATCTTTACTCGTAGATGCATAAGAGGGTGATGGGGAGTTTCAACATTTGTATCACTTTGAATTGTACATAGGAGAATTCAAATGGATAAATTGATGTATATGTTCACTTTTTCACTTCTCTGCTTCTTTCTATAATCTATTTGCGTTGTATCATCAGAACTAGGCAGATTCTTTTGTATCAGCTGATTCTTTCTGTGATGATAAAAATCGATATAAATTGTAAAGATGGTGTTTGAGAACAAAGAAAACCTTGAAAAGAACACTTGCGGTTGGCTGGGTATCTTTCAATGTATGGTAAAAGGATGTGATAAATTGGCTTGTGGACCATACTTTTTGGTGATGAAACTGTGGAGGCAAAACAATGAGGTTGACAGCAATAAGAAAAAGAGAAGCAAATTGAACACCAAAATCATCCATTATATGCCCTTAGGAGTCAGAAAATGAAAAAGACAGCATAAATTGGTTATTCCTAAAGAACAAAGAAGAGAGGGTCAGTTGGCTCTAGGACCCCCAGAAAAGCCATTGGTTTTTCTCATAACACACAAACAACCATCAGTTTCTTGTGTCGCCAACGCTTCCAAAATAATTCTTCAATTCATTTCTTTTGAAGAACAAACAATGTTGAACTAAAACACACACACACACACAAAATTAATGGGTTGGTGCTGTTTAAAACTGCAACCGTGCTGCTATTTTAACTTATAACAAATCTGCAAGTTGAGCTGAAAGTCAACTAAGCATCAGAAAAAGCACTACACCCGTTTGTTTTCTTTCAGTGACGCAAAACTCCCTTCACACATTAACATTTTAAAATAATGAAGATTTTTTTTTTTGGGGGTGGGGTGGGGGCTTACGTCTTTTGCGATTAAAATATCACAATTTCTGGATATTAATCAACCTCTTGTACATATAAATTTGATAGCTAACTCATATCCACATAATTGGATGACAGATACGTACAAGAGATACGTTGCGTCTTCCAACTATCCCACCCATTAGTTTTATTTCCTTGTCATTTTCCAGATTCTGAGTAGAAGCATCAGATAATCCTTGTTGAGATTTATAATTAATCGAGCTGTGAATCAGTTAACAATGGAGGGAGCCCATATGCGTATAAAAAGCTACTGAGCAAAAAAGCTTTTGCAAGTTACGTTCTAAAAGGTTATCTGATATTTCCAAAAACTCTAAAATCAGTAGCCAAGTTCACCACACCAATTGATATCCACGTGACCGTGTCAGTGAATACCTGACATTGTTAACACGTGGATACAAAATTAGTGAAACTTTTTTTTTAAAATTTTTTTCTCTATCAAGTCGAATTTGAAGGGGAAAAGGATAAACACAAGATTAATAAATAATAATATTAATTAATCCGGAAACATATAAATGCAAACTCAAACGCCGATAACACGTGAGTGGAGCTCGTGTCAGCCGTCTTTTGGCGGGATCAAAGGGGCGGTTCGTAACGGACAAAAGGAGAGGCTTTTTTTAATTGTGTAATTGCTGATAACAGCGTTGCTCCGATTCCGCTACGTGTAACTCCGAGATAGTGTAATTTTTTATTCTGTCTTGATGCTTTTTTTTTTACTTCTAAATATTGCTGCCCCTTCCAACAAGCGATGGAGATTCTTGGAAGGAATTTCCCCGGAGGAAGTATCAGGTGCACCCCCGCTTCACCAGGGCTCAATCCCTATAACGTATCCGATCCCCTAAAACAGAAAAATTCTTTTAATAATTATCATGCACGTACTCCTTAATTCTTTTAAACTGTTTTCCGGCAAATTTAAGAACTACGTAAGATTTACGAGTTGTGAATATTAATTGTAAATAAACGAATTTATCACCTTTCGTGATTTTTATAATTATTTATTATCTAATATTATCAATTAATTTAGATTTCGATATATATATATATATATAAACTTTAACCCGTAGGAGATTTAAAATATAAAATGATTTAAATTTAAATAAAAAAATTAAGAAATAATAAGATAATAGTGCTCATTTATTTTGTTTTTATATAATGTAATAAATAAAATATTATGAGATATTGAATCCGTCTACGAAGTGATTTTTCTAATTTAGGCCGCTCCCATCAAGTACTTTCTACCATTTTAAATTTTTAATATAAGAATTAGTTGATTAATTTAAATAGATTAAAAAAATTTGTTGAGTTAGTTACTTGTAATAATTAGATGTTATCTTTTTTAAAATACTCTTAATAATTATATACTCCTCCGGTCCTAATTATAAGACCCAATTGACTTATTTGAGGAGATTAAGGAAGTAAGTTAAGTTGGTTATTTATAATAAATAAGTGTTGTCATTCCTAAAATATCCTTGCTAATTAAGTATATTGGCTAAAACTATCATTATTAGAATGATTATCTTATAAAAAAATGCATAAATATAAGAGACAAAATGGATTGGGTCTTATAATTAGGACCAAATAAAAAGTCAAATTGGGTCTTATAATAAGGACCGGAGGAGTATTAGCTAAAACTATTATTCAATTAAACATTTAACATACCATAACTACATTAAAAAAATAGATAAATATAAAAAATAAAGTAAATTTAAATCTTATATTTAAAACTAAATTGGATTAACAGGAGTATTATTTTGATTCCAATCAATTACTTTATTTGCCAGCTGTTTTCTAATCAAATTAAGTTTAACTGATGACTGATTGCAGTGACTGGTCAGCATTCGTGTTGACCATTTATCATCAATTCATCATCTCCAGGCCAAAATGAAAGCGGCCATCTGTCTACTGTCTCTGGTGGTGCTTGTGGGTCAAGAAACCGGGAGTCACAGATTTAGACTGTAGACCGCAGCACAGCAGAGTATAACCCAGAGAGTGAGGGAGTGTGGTGGACGAAGGCAAACTGAGAAGCAGACACCAGAGTTGCGTTGCTGGTGCTGTATGTGAGGCCGGTGCTTCCTGACCTCTCTTCTTTTTATCCCCCTCCCTCCTCTTTCTTTCATCCATTCTCCGCTCCACACGATCCTATCTCTCTCTCTTCCCTCTCCCCCTCCCTCCCTCCCTCTCTCCCTGCCCGCCATGGCGTTACACTCAGCGTCTTCCATAGCACGACTACACCACACTAATGTGCATTCAGACGTTGTTCCCTCCATTTTCGCCTCCGGCAGTGGCAATTTACTTGTCGACTTCACGGGTTTGTGCTCCAAATCCAAGCGAGCCAGACGCAGATTAGGAGCCTTTGCGTCTCGCAAAGCTTTTCAGCATTACTTGACGAAGAACTCGTCGCCGGTCAAAGCCGTTCTTGACCTTGAGCGTTGCAGTAAGCTTCTTGATGATTCTGCTACTTCTGATTTAAAACCACAGGTGCGTATTTTGCCGATCGTCTTGCCGCCACCGGCTTCTCCCCCCCTTTTATCCCTCAATTCAAGTTTGTTTTGTCGATGTTAGAGAACTTCGTCTGTACTGAGGTCTTGCCGTTACGGAGCCCATACTTCTTCTGTTTTTTTCCCCCATCAAACATCCTCTCCGGTTAATAAATATACTTCATCGTGGCAAATAAATCCGTCGTCTAAATTGGAGAAAAGTCTCTTTCTAAATCATCGGCCTGTAATTCTCATATCGTAGTGTTTCATGAGAGATTTTTCCTGGTTTGGAAGATAGAAGTGCCCAGCCGTGTATAATGTACAAACATCAATCATTGCATGATTCTGACTATACAGTTTGAAAGATGGAAGATACTTTACGAGTGTTTTCTCAATTTTCCTGTCTCTAAAATAACTGCACATTGATTTCACAGAATTATTTTGAAAACGGCAGCAACAAATATATCTCGAGTAGTTCGTGCTAAAATAAAAAACCTATGGCACTATATACTAGACTATATTCGTGCTAGAGGTTCACCAATCTCTTGTTTTTTATTATGACTTCGTTCTGTCAAATAATGCTTTGAAAAATGACGATTAACTTACCAGTATAATTAAACGAAATTTTTACGACACAATCTTTCAGAAACTTCTCAAGTTTATCCTAAAGTTGTTGGGAAAACGAAGCCTGTAGGACATTCAATTGACATGGTGGTACCCAATAGTAGCGGTGAAGTCCTCGTGGTCATAAGGACTTCATTGAGATTATGTTGATATAGGTTAATATTAGTGGATTTGTGTTAGTGAAAAACAATGAGACTGATGGGAGGCAAGTGCCACATCCTTAGCTAAAGCTGCCAATGCTGTTCTTGTGTGTTTCATTCTAAAAATAATCACTCCATCCTCCCCTGGATTTTATGAAAATTTAATACAGCTCATTCTGCTTCTAAAATCCATAGAACCCATTTTAACGTTTAACAAGGCAGTAAGACACTGTAACGTGACTCATCCATTTGACGCTTTTTTCTTACAGACATTGTAAGAGGCGTTGGATCTCACAAAATGTAACAAAAGTTTCTCAGATGTGACAACTTCTCATATGTTAGTGAGTAAATAGTCTGTGAAAACATCCTAGTGGTTCATAAACCCATCACTTGATACCATGAGAAGATACCCTCATGATATACAAGTTTATGACTTTGACAATATTCGAACCAGTTTACCCACAATTTCATTGATAATTATGATACTCTGAGTTTGACTAGCACTTCATTCTTTGCTGTTTTCTTTATGACTAGGAGTATTGATCGGGTTACTTATTTTGAAATGCCTTTTAAAGGCCAAAGGAGGTCTCTTTACAATCTTAGGAGAAGATTCTATAAATTTTGAATTATCGGAAATTGTGACTAGTTTTAGTCAAATATATGTCAAATTAAAGCATTTTCCTCTTGTTTTAATAATCTAAGATAAATTTATTGCTTTCCCTGCCTGACACATGGGGTTTACTTCTTCTTCCTCCCTTTTTTTGGCGTGCATGATTGGCTGTTGACAATTATGAAATCTAGTATGTATGAATACATTATCTGGAAATGCATACTGCATTGTGTTTTTATTTAACTGAATTTTTTTCTGGTAAAGAAGAGTTAATTCAATTTTCATTTAGTTTATTGTGCCAGTTCATTGACTACCATAACGCATATGTGGATTGATAATCCATGTAGGAAGGGAGAACTGGCAAACTGTGCTTTTGACCATTTTCTTCTTTGGTGTGCTTTTTTCGTTTTGTTTAAATGATGGTTTAGCGAAGATCTGGAGAAGAGTCATTTAGTGGAAGTGTGAATTTCATCTGTCTTATAATAGGGTGCATATATTATGTGGAGAATAAATTTTAAATTTTAATTTTATCTGCTAGTACTAGGTATTTGGTGCTGCACTTTGCATTGCTATCATTTTGGTTTGACAATTTCATTGCTCTATGCTGGGCTAATGAACTGGGTTGTGACGTGTAAGTAATTGATATAAACAACATGTTGAATGATTCTGATTGTTTGTTCGTCAGGTTGCACACTTGGAGGACATAATATCAGAAAGAGGAGCTTGTGGTGTAGGGTTCATTGCCAATTTGGAAAATATAGGATCACATCAGATTGTTAAAGATGCTCTTACTGCTCTGGGCTGTATGGAACATCGTGGTGGCTGTGGGGCAGATAATGACTCAGGCGATGGGTCAGGGCTGATGACATCTATTCCATGGGATCTATTTGACAATTGGGCCAACAAGCAAGGGATTGCATCATTTGATAAGTTGCATACCGGTGTTGGAATGGTATTTCTACCCAAAGATGAAGGACTTCTACAAGAGGCGAAGAAAGGTAATAGTGTTTTCACTTTGAAGGGCTTGATTCAAGAGTTTCTGCCACATTGTCCTAATCATTTCTCAGTTTCATTGCGACAACCATGCCTATTCATTCCTTTAATTTTTGACATGTTAAAATTGCTGACTTTGTAAAAGTAATGTTAATAGATAGAACATAAAGGGGGGAATAAAACTAAACAGAGGCTCCTAAAATGTCCATGCTGTAATTGGTGATAACGCATATTACTGCTATTGAAGCTTATGGAATCTATGATATGTTATATCACAAAGCTTCTTGCTTCTTTTTGTATTTTAGTTGATACCTCTTTACTTTAGCATGTTCAAACTTTTTAATCCTCTGTAGAATATGATATAAACCATAAAAAACCCACCCAACTAGCTCATGAGATTGGGCCGCCCAAGATCCACATGAAGCCTATATGGAAAATTCCTGAACTTTAGCTGGTGCAATTAGATCATAAAATTCCACTGGGCCTTGCAGCCATGTCTCGCATGGATATGGTCATCGTACTAGCTTTCTAGCCCTAGGTGAGCTCTGCAATACCAGTGTTATCACTTGCTTTGACAATAGCAGCTGAGAGATCATTAACTCATGAGGTTTGAAACCAGGGTTCATATAAATCCTACACCGGAAGTCCTATATGTCTGATGTTGGACTCACATTCCATACTTCGTGGCTGGGTCATCAGCAACATCATCTTATAGCTTCCTTGTGGATGGATTTAGGGAGGGATTGGAGTTCTTCTTTGAGCTGGTGTTTTCATCTTTTCATTTTGTTGGTGCTTGCTTGACTGTTGAAGGATGTCTTATCCTCCTTATTTGAACTTCTATTTTATTTAATTCTTCTTCCATTAAAAAGGGCTCAAAGTGAATCTCTTATGTTTTCATTAATATTCAGAGTAATTGGCAAATTATTTGACTTTGATTGATGTCATTCACTCTCTTAAATGGGTAGAAGTTAATTTCCCATATGCTGTAAGAGGTCAGGATTCTGACGTGTATTTTGATTTCTTCTGTAGTTATTGTAAATATATTTAAACAAGAAGGTCTTGACGTGCTTGGGTGGAGGCCTGTCCCTGTAAATACTTCTGTAGTAGGCCATAATGCAAAGGAGACAATGCCAAACATACAGCAGATATTTGTTAAGATCATAAAAGAAGAAAATGTTGATGACATTGAACGTGAATTGTACATCTGCCGGAAATTGATTGAAAAAGCAGTAAGCTCAGAAAGTTGGGGAAATGAGCTTTATTTCTGTTCTTTGTCAAATCAAACCATAGTCTACAAAGGAATGCTTCGGTCAGAAGTTCTTGGATTATTTTATCATGACCTTCAAAATGATCTTTATAAGTCTCCTTTTGCCATTTATCATCGAAGGTATAGCACGAATACAAGTCCTAGATGGCCTCTTGCACAGCCAATGAGGCTTCTTGGACATAATGGAGAGATCAATACCGTACAGGTGAATTTGCTTTGCTTTAGAAATTTTTCTGGCTAAAATTTACCTGGGATGGAATTAGGAAATTGCGACATGGTTTTGCAGGGTAACTTAAATTGGATGCAATCTCGTGAAACATCATTGAAATCACCTGTATGGCATGGTCGGGAAAATGAAATTCGTCCATTTGGAAATCCAAAGGCATCAGACTCAGCAAATCTGGACAGTGCCGCAGAAGTATGTCATCCACTCTTACTAGTTTGAAACAATTACTGTTTCCTACTTCACAAGGATCTTGATGATGATAATTCTTATGAAATAAATTGTTGAAGTGGAAAGGTGAAGTCTGAAGGAGAAAAGATGGTCTATCCAGTTCTAGTTGCTCGGGAAGGATACTTGAGTTTCTCATCATTTTTCAATCCATCCGTTCCCTCTTGCTATTGTTTTTTGGTCGTTAAATTCTTTTTTCCCACTTTCTTTCCCTTAGCAGGACTGTTTTTACTGGTTCTTTGTTTTAAGAGTGTTTTCTTGTGAAATTCTCTGTACTTGTTTCTGTGTTCATAATCATATACATCTCTTTTAATCTATAAAATATCTTCTGATTCAGTTGTTGATAAGAAGTGGTCGTAATCCTGAGGAAGCGATGATGATCCTTGTACCAGAGGCTTATAAAAATCATCCAACTCTCATGATTAAATACCCTGAGGTAATTTATTTAATGCACACCTACCAAGAGAAACAGTTAGGTAGTTAATATTTTAAAATTTTTACGGCTTTTTCCTTTTTTAAATGCGTGGGGATTGGGCCATATCAATGAGGGGAGGTGAGTATTTTTTTTTTTTTGTCGAGAATTTTGGGGGAAAAAAGACATTAATTGCTTTTAGAAATCTGTAAAATGCCTTATATATTGAAAGATGGAACTTTCCCAGACACACCATATATTTGAAATGAAGGATGTATTATTTAATGCTTTTGAATTCTTAATAGTTTCGAACCCCCTCTTAAATTTTAGCATAATCTTTCACGAGTTTTGATTTTTTTCCCCCCTTTGAAAGCTTAACAGAATTTATTGATTTTTAATCAATAGCTAATGGCAACTGCTATTAAAAAGGTCAAATAATAACTGGGTGTTGCAGTAGGAAAGTGATCAAGGTCAGTGTCAAAGAAACCTTGGCCCTACCACTGCAAGGTTAAGCAAGAGACCTTAGCCCTACTACTGGAAGGTTAAGTAAGAGAGTGAAGAAAAATCTCAGTTGTAACTGGAATTGCCCATCTAGAGTGGTTCATGGGCCCCCACTTTTAAATGAAACCTCACTAATAGTACTCATTGAAGCTTGCTACGCTAAGTGAAAACCTATTTCCTTTTACTGTGAAACTCTATCAATGCTCTGAATCATATTTTACATTTCCAAATTGAAGTATTTGTAACCCTATGTTGCTTTTTAGGTGGTTGACTTCTATGACTACTACAAGGGTCAAATGGAGGCATGGGATGGACCGGCCTTGCTTTTATTCAGGTAATGAGTCTAAAGAATGTGAAGCAATATAGTTGCTTTGCTTCCCTATCCTAATTCATTTTGCTTCTGCCAATATTGAGTTAAATTGATCATGGTGGCATGGAAACTAAAAGTAAAAGTAGAATTTGGATGATCCCAATCTGTGTGTGGCTACGGTTTTATTTATGATGATGGGAAAAAAGAAAGAAATGGGGGTTGTCTACCTGTCCAAGGGCTCCACGAGCAAGATGCAAGTTTTTATTCTGTTGGCTTTTCTTGGCAACTTTTTTGCTTTAAGACGAATTACACCCTTTTCTTGGTGTTTTCCTGGATGAAGTTTAATTTAGGTTAATAACTCATGGGAAAGTTAATTTTAAGAGGCACATATTAGGGGAACACAATATATGAAATCAAGGACGTAAATTTGGGTTGAAAATTTGTCATAACAATTATATTACATTCTGGAAATATTTGCCTTTTTTGCTGGGGCTGTTATTCATCATTTATTTAATCTTTATCTTTGAACGCATATTTTTCTTTTCAATTAGTTTCTTCATTGTTTAGTTATAGTGCATACATTTTATGTTTAATCTTTTCTCCCAATAGTTTCCCCTTTTCCCTGGTTATCGCTAATTCAATTTATATGACTCAGTGATGGAAAAACTGTTGGCGCATGTCTTGATCGTAATGGCCTGAGGCCTGCTAGGTATTGGAGAACATCAGACAATGTTGTATATGTTGCCTCTGAGGTAAGTCCCTTCTTTTATCTGTTGGCTTAAAGATAAAATCAATTTGGTGTCAGATTTTACCAGTCAGAAGTTTTGTGATTTTGGAGTGTGTAGTAGTTTTTTTTTTTTTTTTTGGGGCTCGTACTGGACTTTGAAGAGCTTAGGATTTGGCTAACTTGTTTTACCTGATCGTGTATCAATTCCACATCTTTGTCATTGTTGGTTCATTAAAGATTTAGGCTTTCTTTGCTGGCCTTTAATTAGTATCGTTCTATTTACAACTTTTTTATTGGCAGAAATTTGTAGTTGGTTGATATAGAAACGAACTCAGCCAATGGAATGCAGATCTGCTGGCCACGTATTATTTTTATTTTTTTTCTTCTGGCACCTTCTGTAGTCCCTTGGGTTCATCCTTTGTATGCGGGTTCTAATGTGCCTCCTTGTTGTCCTTTTATTATAGACTTGCAAAAAAGTTCAACTGTCCTCTGCAGGCAAGGGAAATGGCTGACACTAAGAGTCTATCTAGTTTATGTTCTGCAGATAATCGCATTCTTCTTAAGTCTGTTGTCTTGACTAGGCTTTTTTTTTTTGGCCAAATGTCCTGTGGTTATTCGTATAAAAAATTAAATGCATTATAGTTTGGTTCATAAAAAAATTTCCATCATTACCTTCTCTAGTACTTGTTTGCAGTAATTATTATAATGACGTAATCTATTAAGCCTAGTTCATGACTTACATCCAGTGATTAATGATATATTGTCTTGTCTTTTCCTTTCTTCAGGTTGGTGTTCTACCAGTTGATGAATCAAAGGTTATCATGAAAGGCCGATTAGGTCCAGGGATGATGATAACGGTTGATTTAGTTGGTGGTCAGGTTTGCATGACAACTTTCGTTTTTCGGTTGATTCACAGTCTCTTTCAGTAGCTACTTATGAATATTGAGGTCCTTATTTTTCCAGCATCTACTGGATGTACATTTGCAGTAAAACACCCTGTTGATATAGTAATATGATTTTAAAGATAAACAAATATTATGACTACAGATAAAGAAGCAAGAACAAGGAAGAAAAAGAAGCCTGACTATGAAGCCTCAGATTTGTTTCCCGTAAAAAGTTGTTTTTTAAGAGAATCACTTAATATCCTTTAATGGGCCAGCTCAGGATAGCAGTTACCTATCACTATCATCAGTTAACAATGTATTGATACTTCCAACAATTAAGTGCTTCTTTCTCGTTCTCGATTTGATAAAGGAGTAGAAAAATTGAGTTCTCGGCTCCTTTTGAAAACGGACTTCTTCGAATTGAAAACTCAAAGCTGCCACTTGGATTATACCACTTCGATTTAATTGACTAATAAAGCACTTGTATCCCTCACTTTGTTTGGCATGAGGGAAGTGGAAGGGAGGGGAGTGAGTTTGATTTGAAAAATTGGAGAAATGGGATTATAAAATTTTAATAAAGAGAAGATGTGAGATTAAAAACTGAGAAAAATTAATTAAAATCTTTTAATCCCACTTCTCCAATTTTTTAAATTAAACTCAATAAAATTGCCCCTCCCCTCTCCTCCTCTCCGTTTCCTCATACTAAAGAGACCCTAAATTTCTGATCTGTAAAGCTTGGCCATTTCTCCGTGCATTTTCCTTTTTCTAATAATTGACCTCTAATCTTGGAATCAATGCTTGTAAAAAGCTGTTGTTTTTGCTGCTTTAAGGAATTTTTTAAATATAAATTATTTTGCATGGCAGGTTTTTGAAAATACTGAGGTTAAAAAGCGAGTAGCCTTGTCAAATCCGTATGGGGAGTGGGTCAAGGGTAACTTGCGGTCTTTTAAGCCAGCAAACTTCCTTTCGGCTGCGGTCATGGACAATGATGCAATATTAAGACACCAACAGTGAGAATTCTATGCAGTTCGTTTTTCAGTTTTATCCTGATAAAAGATAATGTGTTCTTTGGTGTTGGCTTCATAAATCCTATATAAACACACTGCTACGCCTTGGCTTGTTAAAACCTTTATGGTCTATATGGTTGCTATTCTCTTAGTTCTCTATGCTGTCCGAATAGCATTTGACAGAAGTGTTGCAATAAGAAAATATTAAAACCGCAATTTTTTTTTGCATAAGGGTTAGTAAAAGCATCTTGCACGGGGTCTCTGCTTTATCAACGCAAGTGAATTAAGGTTCCTATGAACATATGAAATATAATCAAATGACCTCAGGTGAACTCAAAATCGGTTGGTAACATGATGATGGTCTAGTATGTTTGCTTCGGTCGTAGGAACCAGCCTTGGTGATGGTCGAGTTTGTTAGCTTTGGATCTCTGCATATACCTCTTTTAGGGTGCTTATATTCCAATCTTTAATGAGACCAGGGCATTTGGTTACTCAAGTGAAGATGTCCAAATGGTGATTGAATCTATGGCTTCTCAAGGAAAGGAGCCCACATTTTGCATGGGAGATGATATTCCACTGGCAGCATTATCTCAGAAGCCACATATGCTTTTCGATTATTTCAAGCAACGATTTGCACAGGTATGCGCTGGAAGAACTTATTTTCCACAACAGTTCATGGAGTTGCAACTTGTAATTTCCTCTGTTAAATACAACAATTGCATCAGTCACTAAACTTTAGCGGAAGCTTGATTATATTTTTCACTGCGTTTTTATAAAATGCAACATAATTTATTTTCTTTGTCATCTGATAATTGATATGGGCGTCTATCTAAGGAAGTTCTGTGCACTACTCATTCTCTCTGCTTAACCTTCTACTCCTCTATTGTGTATTTTTATGTCTCTTGTGCCAATGGCCGCAAGAGACATAAAACCCTAGACTTCTATGTCTTTTGTTGCATGTTTTGGTGGCCAGAGACATCAAAGAGTGATAAGAATGAATGGGTCGGCACCCATCACAATCTTCATGAATTCATGCTTCTCTGATAGGCAGAGGCGTTAGGGATCTCTATTGCTCTGTTATAGATCTCTTTTCTATTAGTCTTTCTCAATGATGTCCATAGACTTGTGATGAAATCCGAACACCTAAAAACACATGGGTTTGGACTAGGGCCCAACCACTCCTACCCAATTAATAGCTATTAATGATAAAAATATTCAAGCTGTTCCTACTTACTGTCATCTGATGTTAGCGGGAGAGTCATAAATATGGTGTGATTGATATATTTTAAAACACTACTGTATTATAGAAAATATACTGGGAATGACATAATCATCTCAGTTCATATTTTATTAAATTTGATGGTTATAATATTTTTAGAATGCTCTAGAAGTTTATTCCTAGGAAGCCATTTCAGTGCTATTTATTTGCATAAGCGCAGGTCACAAATCCTGCTATTGACCCTCTTCGAGAAGGCTTGGTTATGTCTCTTGAAGTCAATATAGGGAAGCGAGGGAATATATTGGAAGTTGGACCAGAGAATGCCTCACAGGTATTTTAGCGTGCTTATCATAAATTGTAACCATATTCCGTCAGCCTGTATCAGTCCGTGATTCCCATTATTTTGTTACCCTTTTCTGCCCCCAAGCTTACGTTATTGATTTGGCTCAGGTTATATTGTCTAGTCCTGTGTTGAATGAAGGGATCTTGAGTCATTGTTGAAAGATCCCCACTTAAAACCGCAAGTATTACCAACATTTTTTGATATAACCAAAGGGGTTGAAGGTTCGTTGGAGAAGGCATTAGATAGACTTTGTGAAGCTGCTGATGAAGCTGTCAGAAATGGCTCACAGCTGCTTGTTTTCTCTGATCGTTCAGATGCACTAGTAAGTACAATCTTGAAGTATTCGCATACTTTTGCTGAAGTGCTTTTTTTCTCAAGGGAGATTATTGATCACACTTTGAAACTTTCCATTTTATAGATCTAAATGATGGAGCAGATGAAAAAAAGGCATATTTCAGTAGATTATTACAAAAAGCAATATTCTCTTGCTTTCCTCTGATTTGTGTCGTATTCCAAAAATTCTCTTAATTTTTTTCCCCTGTTTTGTGAGGAAACCTGAGCAGAACTCAAGACAATATAAGAGAAATACCAAAATCTATAGAATTCGGATAGACAGAGAATGGCAGAATGACCTTCATGGAGAGAATACCTTCAAGATGTTATCTCCCAAACCAGTCCATCATTTTTTACATGATACTCTCTGCTTTCTCTTGATTCAGTGTTATTAAGCCTTCCTCATAAAAGTACTGCTGAGACTAGGCTATCAGATAGTTACATGTGATCTCTTCTTGTCGTCAAAGTTACACACTCCCCTCATATTAACCTGTCCCTTGCTACTCTGCTTAAATTTTCTATTATACCTGGGGTCCTTCAGATACATCTGCATTAAGTTGAAGTTCTTTTACCCGAAGTTGTCAAAACTGAACAAGCTGTTCGACTGGAAAACTGAGAACCAGTTCGTAGTTTGCTTTGGTCTTGGCCATGTAGTTTTTCGTCAAAGAAGTGATCAATGAAAATTATGGATGATGTGGTAGCTTATGAAGTGTCCAGTTCGTCCTCATTTGATGGACGTAAAAAGGAACTCTTACATTGTAGGAGTCTCTTATGGTTTGATTTGTATGATGATTTTTCTACTCCTAGCCTCTGGATTTTTCCTCCTTTACGATCTAACACTATAGCCTTATACTCCAAAGAGAAATGGCACTCTTACATTTAAACGTTGAGACTTGAGAGTTGGTTTGCAAAACCTACTACTGTTTTTAGAAAGTGTGCCCTTGGGGGGGGGTATGGTTACCAGGGCTTTGTTTGTACGGTATGATCGGGGCAAAACGATTTTCTTTGATATTTTCTATTCTTATTTGGAATAATTACCGACCTTCCCATTTTTACTTTTTCCTTGCAAATTTTTTTTTATTCATTCAAAACAAATTTCTTTTCATAAAAAGAATGGTTTGGACCTCTAACTGACCTTTCTATTAATATTTTAAGCATGGATTGATGCACTAATTATTCCCTTTTGTCTTAGGAACCAACTCATCCAGCAATCCCAATCCTTCTTGCTATTGGTGCTGTTCATCAACATCTAATTCAGAATGGCCTACGCACGTCTGCATCACTTGTAGCAGATACTGCTCAGTGCTTTAGCACTCATCAGTTTGCCTGTTTGATTGGATATGGTGCAAGGTTGTTTGCATGCCTTTTGAATCCTCTATGCATGTTTCTTACTATATTTTTGTCAAGCTATGGTGGTCTTGCTTATGTACTTAGGAAACTTTAACTTTGTCATAGACCATTTCCTTATGTAATATGACCAGGTGTAGCTTCTTGTTTTCCCCGTCAAAGAATTGTTTTCTAGTATTTTTGTGGAAACTAGGAAGCATAGGTCATTCTCATTTTCCATGACTCTAATATCTTGAGCATGACAAAATGTCTGTTTGGATTTTTAGTGCCGTGTGTCCATACTTGGCATTGGAGACATGTCGGCAATGGCGTTTGAGTAACAAGACTGTTAATCTGATGAAGAATGGAAAGATATCAACTGTATCAATTGAACAGGCGCAGAAGAACTATTGTAAGGTGAGTGGTCAATATGTGGTTGGCCTTGTTTTTCATTGTAGTCTTTTATTATTTATTTTTGCATGCACATAAGTTTTTACTGGTGGTTACATATATGTCTTGCCTGATGTTTATGTATGCTCTCCGTTTTGCAAAGCAGTATGCTTCAGGAAATTGGAAGAACTCTACTTTTGCTTGATATTCATAGTTCTGGTTTCGTCATGATCTTTTTATCCGGTTTTCAGGCTGTTAAAGCGGGTCTTCTTAAAATTCTTTCCAAAATGGGCATCTCATTACTTTCCAGGTACACGTTGTTTTATGATTTATTTTAAAGCTGCAGTTATAAAGAACCACTAATACCGGGGAGTATTGGTATTATCATGTTTTAATTATTTGATAGTTTCTCGTATATTTGTATTTTTCTTTCTAAATCAAATATGTTATGCTTTTGTTAATGATTAACTTAGTCCCTTTTTTGTAGTTACTGTGGTGCACAAATATTTGAAATCTATGGATTAGGAAAGGAAGTTGTTGATCTTGCATTTAGAGGAAGTGTATCAAAAATTGGTGGATTAACTTTTGATGAGGTGAGTTAGAATACAGTAATGAATCCCATAGAAAATTCGAATTATCACAATATGTTGCTAGTGAGATGAGCACCACTCTTATTTTAGATAAATAATGCACATAAAAAATTAGAAAATTTATCACTCCGCACCCTTTCCATGCATCCCATACATGCATCCCATAATATAATTTGCATTTTGAAAGTGTTGGATTATTTTTGCATGATTTTCATAGTGTATCCATTTTCCTTTACATGTATTTATAAGAAGATTGAAATGGCGGAAATCCAGAAGAGAATGAAGAAACCAGACAATACATACAAACATAGTATTTAAGGTCTATCGGTTTATACATAAAAATTGACCTGTCATCCTTTTGCTAGCAACTCCTTTCATATTCTACTAGACTTTCCTGAGTTCTTAATGTCTCTTAATAAGGTATTTGCTAGTAACTCTTTGACCTAAAAAATTGTTAGTACTTTTTTAAGACTCTACCTTAAGTGAGACTCAAAATCTGCGTCTTATTACAGACAAAACCTATGAAGAGAAAAGCTGAAAGCATAGCCCACTCAAATAAAAGAACTCCCTCATTTATTGAAGAACTTAAGTAACTAGCACTCCTTTTGACAACATCCTTGGGAGAAGCACAAACCGAAAAATTCTTCAACCTGGTCCCTGTGAGCAGCTATCTGAACTTTATTGTCGCTTCCCTCCACAGCCACACTTGGCACAATGGCAACTTCTAGAAGTCTTTGGCCTTGACCTACTTCCTAAGAGTAGCATCCTCAATATTTTGCCCTCTTAATCTCCGCTACTTGGGCTGAACACCTAGGCACCAAAAATACATTCCTCCCTTTCAAGTGCCATATTCTTTACTCATCTGATATTATTTAAAAGTCACTAGCAACGAATTTCATTAGAGCCAAGAAAAACTTTACACCTAATTAACTCTATCTTAAAATTTAATAACTTTTCAACTTTACCCCTATTTAATATATATACTCTCCCAGAAAATAACAATCTGCACAATAATAAATAAAGAGCAAAATAGTACATTCATGTTGAAAATTAATTATGCGACTTATTAATGGGACCCAAAAAAAACTTCTCCCTCTGACTTGTAAAGAGGACTAGAGGAGCAATTCAAAACTTCAGGGTCTTTGCTCTCTACATCTGTCCAGGTGGTGCCAAGAACTTTAATTACTGCTTCATTGGAAACAAAACAATCTACTGAAACTCTTGTCCACTATGCTGCGTTACCAGTGCGATAATAGAACTCAACATGAAGTTATACTCACTTCAAAAATGTTTCAGTGTTTCGATCTATGTGCAGAATATGAATGTGGGGATGCACTGAATTTGCATTATACCACTTGTGAATGAAACTTCCCTCTCACTTTCTGTTTGTGCAGCTGGCAAGAGAGACTTTGTCTTTCTGGGTGAAGGCATTTTCTGAGGATACAGCTAAAAGGCTAGAAAATTTTGGGTTTATACAGTTTAGACCTGGAGGTATCATTTGCTTCTTGACTTGTTAGAAACTTGGAGTTTAGAGAATTATTATGCCTTTATTTGTACTTTTAGAAGCTGTATAAAATGAGCCTTATGTTGCGCTGTACAATATTTATGTGGGTCTTAGAAACTGGTTTTTTTGAAAGTAATTAATGGTTTGCCATGCGTTATAGCGTGTAGGCATTGTTCAAGATTCTGTTAAGGCCCATCCTGTGAATATTTCTTGGTAGGTGAAAGTTTCTAACAGACCGTTTCTCTTTTTCAAAGGGGAATATCATGCAAATAATCCAGAGATGTCAAAGTTGCTCCACAAAGCCGTTCGTCAAAAAAGTCAAAGTGCCTTTTCAGTGTATCAGCAGCATTTAGCTAATCGGCCTGTTAATGTGAGTTGAAAATTTTGCTTTTTATGACTGTTTTTGTTGGAATCTAATGGTGACTAAGGTATTATGAGATGCCTGTGTCCTACATTGAATAATGTGATGTGCTTTGAGATACTTTAGGTGACTTGATTCTCCTACCTTCATAGCTAGTTTTCTGGAGAAGTTCTCCACCTGAACTAGATGCTCATCAAAATCCCTTGAAATAATGGCATGGGATTATTGGGAGAAATCTTGGTAGTTAAGGTAGTTAATGAGCACTAAAGTGAAGTGTTTTGTTTTGTTTTTTTGGGCGGGGGGGTTTTGTCTGTTTGATGAAGCTTTTTGTTGCCTGTTCATTTCCTTTTATTTAGAGTTGATTGGCTCGTTTTCTGTAGCCTTTATTTCCTTTGATGTTGAGGATTAAGTAGCTGATTTTCTGTAGTGTACTTCCTCTATATCTTGCAACCTATTTTGTAACAAGAGCAGAGGCTCCAGAATGAAATTCCTTAGATTTACAATTTTTCTTTTAATTGTGATCATTTGAAATTAACTGATATTTTTTCGAGTCTGTTGCAGGTTCTGCGTGACCTCCTTGAATTTAAAAGTGATCGTGCTCCAATACCTGTAGGAAGGGTCCAACCTGCTTCATCAATTGTTGAACGCTTTTGTACTGGTGGCATGTCACTTGGAGCTATCTCAAGAGAAACTCACGAAGCAATTGCAGTTGCAATGAACCGACTAGGTGGAAAATCCAATTCAGGGGAAGGTGGTGAGGTAAATAAACTCTATTCCACAATAAGGCAGGTTATATTTAATTGTGCTCACAATCAATTCTAAACAAGTCCTTTTATTGCCCCACTTTTTGCTTTAATTTCAATTGCTCTCCCATTATGGTACTAATGATAATATATGGCCAAAAAGTGATGACATATTGTGTACTGCTTTCAGGATCCCATTCGCTGGAAGCCACTTACAGATGTTGTTGATGGTTATTCTCCTACTCTGCCACATCTCAAAGGTCTTCAAAATGGTGATACTGCTACTAGTGCTATCAAACAGGTTATTACACTGATATTTTATAATGAATTAGCGGTCAAAATTTACAATTACATACCTGATATTTGCATTCACTATGTTCTTGTATCGCATATAGTAAATGAGGCCAGTTACTGCAGAATGTTGGGAAAACTTAAGGGTGGTGGAATATGTCAATTGCGTAACTTTCTTTATTCTAACTACAAAATATGTTAAAATTCCTTATAGCATCAAATTTTCCAGGAATTCTTCATAGGATGGAGGCATTGGATAGATTGTCAGGACTGATTGATATTCAGTCAGTGATAAACTCAGAATAACTGATTGAGTTCCTAATCTTTATAACACCTCCTTCTTTGCAATCATTGATGCATATGCTGTCCAAATTACTTCTAAAAAGTATCTTGCATTGTCTACAGGTTGCTTCAGGGAGGTTTGGTGTCACCCCAACATTCTTGGCAAATGCTGATCAAATAGAAATTAAAATTGCACAAGGTGCAAAGCCTGGTGAAGGAGGACAGTTGCCTGGGAAAAAAGTTAGCATGTATATCGCAAGGTTGAGAAATTCTAAACCTGGGGTTCCTCTTATATCTCCACCTCCTCATCATGACATCTATTCCATTGAGGATCTTGCTCAATTGATCTATGATCTCCATCAGGTGACTGAGCGTTTTATATCTGCCCATCCCATTTTTAATCAAGCCAGTGTTCTCAAGGAAAATCTTCATGGTTTTTTGGTTGAACAGGTGAACCCTAAGGCCAAGGTCTCAGTGAAACTGGTGGCTGAAGCTGGAATTGGTACTGTTGCATCTGGGGTTGCCAAGGGTAATGCTGACATTATACAGGTATTAACTCATCTGTCATACATTATGCATCTGGAGTGGTCCGGTATTTGATGTCCTGAACTGACTTTGATGGTCTAGGCTGAAGTAGACTCTCATCACCCGTATTTGTTGTTCCTCTTTAATGAAATTGTTCTTCATTTATGGAGGAAAATAAAAAATTAAAGATTGTTGGTTTCATTGAAGGACCTGTTAAACTCAAAACAACAGAAAATTCGTTTTATGTTTTTTTTTTTCTTTTTTAAATTTTAGTGCTCATTTGAGTAGAATAGTTATACCTTGTTATTGCTTCTCAGATTTCAGGGCATGATGGTGGAACTGGAGCAAGCCCAATAAGTTCTATCAAGCATGCTGGAGGTCCTTGGGAACTTGGTCTTACAGAAACTCACCAGGTTATAATTTGAACTATTGAATTATAGTGTTGTAATTTATTCTTGACATTTAAGTGAAAATTGGATGTTAATTCTTGATATTTTCCTTTCAGACACTCATTGAAAATGGGCTTAGAGAAAGGGTCATTCTCAGAGTTGATGGTGGCTTTAGAAGTGGAGTTGATGTGATGATGGCTGCCGCAATGGGTGCTGATGAGTATGGCTTTGGTTCAGTGGCCATGATTGCTACTGGATGTGTAATGGCCCGCATTTGCCACACCAATAATTGTCCAGTTGGTGTTGCGAGTCAGGTCTATAGAACTCTTCTTTTAATGCTGTATTTTGTTAGTTAATTGTCATTTTAATAACACCACGTATACATTTCATTGTTTTAAATTTCAAATTTGATCTGATACTCCAGAGGGAAGAACTGCGTGCACGTTTTCCTGGTGTACCGGGTGATCTTGTCAACTACTTTTTGTATGTTGCTGAGGAGGTATCATGTGCCTTATGTTTACTTCTTTCAGATTTATCTTGATGCATCATTCTAGAAATTGTCCCTAGTGATGTTTTATTATTTATGTAGTTTGGCTCAAGTTGCTTCTCCTGCATTAAATAAATTTAGTTTCTATTCTGGCTAGGTAAGAGGCATATTGGCACAGCTGGGTTATGAGAAGTTGGATGATGTAATTGGCCGGACAGACTTATTGCAACCACGAGACATATCTCTAGTCAAAACTCAGCATATAGATCTCAGCTATATTCTCTCTGTATGTGTTGTATATTTCTTAAATTGGGTCGTTATTAGAAAATTATCTTCTTTTCTTTCTTTCTTTTTTTTGGTTGATTGCCTTTCTGGATCCAGTAACTGCCTCCTTCTCTAGCTTATTTGTAATGGAACTTTCGTTTTCAGAACGTTGGGTTGCCAAAATGGAGCAGTACAGCAATTAGGAAACAGGAAACTCATACCAATGGTCTGGTTTTGGATGATGCTTTGTTAGCTGACCCAGAGGTAGCTTTTTAATCAACTATAGGTCTAGCTCAGTTTTATTATTGACATACAACCCCTGCAGTTGCATGTTTTTTAGACCAGCTTGTGTTAATTTGAGTCAATGCTTAAATGCTATTGACTGACGTGTATTTTCTTAACTGAATCTAATCCCTAAACCTCCAAAGTGGGAAATGAAGAAGCTATTCTGTGCGCATGCATTAAATAGCTCACATGACCCCAACCTCAGTCACTAAGATCGAATGAACTTTATGTCAATGGTCAATCCCTGTTCATGCCCTTTTCCCCACGGCCTACTTTGAGGCCGTGAAGCCTCTTATTTAACACGGGAAAAAGCAGCAATTTCCCCTTTTATGTTCAAGTTGGCTGTTGTTTTTCATCACAGCATGAAGCGATGTGAGGAAGATATTTACATGCCTTGTATAAGGTGAAAAAAATGTTTTTTCATCATCCAGATTGCAGATGCTATTGAGAATGAAAAAGTTGTCAACAAGACTGTTAAAATATTCAACATTGATCGTGCTGTATGTGGGCGTATAGCTGGTGTTATTGCTAAGAAGTATGGTGACACTGGTTTTGCTGGACAGTTGAATATAACGTAAGATGCCCTCTGCTATTCTAAAGTTGATATCATGTTTTATCATATGGAAATTAAATAAGATGCTTTTTTCCATTATTCCAGATTTACAGGAAGTGCTGGCCAGTCGTTTGCATGCTTTCTGACCCCTGGAATGAACATTCGCCTGGTAGGAGAGGCTAACGATTATGTGGGGAAGGTATCTTCATTAACTTATTCTTTTGAACATAGGTTAATAGCTTAAATATGTGATTTTTATTTGCTTGTTTTAGTGCTGAAGTAATGAGTACGTGGGGTGTATTTATGTACTACTATTGCCAGGGAATGGCTGGAGGTGAGTTGGTTGTCACGCCAGTTGACAAAACAGGGTTTCAACCTGAGGATGCAACTATTGTGGGGAACACTTGCTTGTATGGGGCAACAGGTGGACAGGTCTTTCTTAGAGGGAAGGCTGGGGAGCGATTTGCTGTGCGAAACTCACTTGCTGAAGCTGTTGTTGAAGGCACTGGAGACCATTGTTGCGAGTACATGACTGGTGGTTGTGTGGTTGTCCTTGGAAAGTGAGTAATGTTTCATCATCTAAACTTAACCCTTGTTTAGCCAACCTCTTCCTCTTTCTTTTTAGTGATTGGTGAATTGGATGAATTGACCTGAATTTACTGAGCCTATTGCATGTCTTAACTTCTTGGCAGAGTGGGTAGAAACGTGGCTGCTGGAATGACTGGAGGGTTGGCTTACATTCTTGATGAAGACAGTACTCTCATACCCAAGGTTTGTGCCAGAGACCCATATTCAGTGTCTCCTCCCCCCTTTTTGGGTAGCCATATGCATGAATGGGCTTAGTCCCTGGAATTCTTTTTCCTGATTTGGCGGATCTGATTTCACCGTCTACCCCTTCCCATCTCGAAGAAAGCACAACCACAGGTCAAAAGGAAAGATGTAGAAGAAATGAACGATAAAGCCCTTATTTTTGTTGCATGGAAGCGAATAAATATGCTGCTGTTGTTTCATCTTTATGATCACTTATCTGTATAAATGCTGACAGGTAAACAGAGAAATTGTAAAAATCCAACGCGTATCAGCGCCTGTAGGGCAGATGCAGCTGAAGAACCTTATTGAAGCCCATGTTGTAAGGCCCATATCTACTACTGCATGAAATCTATGCATGTTTAAAACAGTCAGACATCTAAGTTTGTTTTGTCGTGCGAGCTAAGTTGTGGAGACTAATTGAAGTTGTGTGGTTTGAAGGAAAAAACGGGGAGTAGCAAAGGGGCGGCGATTCTGAAAGAGTGGGACAAGTACTTGCCGTTGTTTTGGCAGCTGGTTCCACCAAGCGAAGAAGACACCCCGGAGGCTAATGCCGAGTATGACACAAGAGAGGCTGAGCAGGTGACTTTGCAGTCCGCTTAGGAGCACAATCCGAGCTTTACTTTTGAGTCCAGTATCATATGGAGCCTCGGTGCATGAATTGCTGACGTGCCCAACCACCCCCCCCCCGGGGGGGCACAGATGGAGAACAAAATTCCAACTCTAATTCAGGGGATTAATTTATCCCCTCAGAGCCATACGGCAACGCCACTTTTGGTTGCAGTTGGGGGTCGCCCCATTCTCTCTTCCTAGTTTTGTATAGAAGGCGCTTTGTACAAGAAAATGTAGATAAAAGGCACTCGATTTCTGTCTGACTGAAATTTTTTCTCTTTAATTAATTAATGGGTTGATTTTCCCAGTCTTCTCTTCGCTCGTTTGTTCTGCACTTACACCCAAACAACGACCGTAGTAATTCTGCCTGGCGCTATTGTTATGTGGATTTAGGTCAGCCTACGATATTGTTTCGGGAGACAGATTCATGGTTGAGAGAAACTAGTCTCTATTTCCTGCCTTCGGAGTTTCGAAAACTACTACTGCTTCTCCCGCATTAGTTTAGGCTCGTCTAGCTGCCTACCTACGACGTCATTTTTAAAATGATGAGTTGCCTCGAAAACAATAATGATGAGATTACAGCCCCCCCCCCCCAAAAGAAAAAAATCCATTCAAAGATTTGCACGATACAAAAAAAAATAAAAAAGAGTTCCTTTGATTTTGATAGAACACTTTAGGATTCAAAGTTTATCTTTTGCTGGCTCCGATTTTATATAATCTCAAGTACTAAGTACCTATTTCAATTCCTAATTATTTGCATTTTAAACAATCTACCTCATTCCAATTTCACACTGAACTTTTGATATATGGTTATCCTATTACTAATTGAAGGATGAGAATATTAAAAAAAAAAAAAGTAAAGGAATTTTTGATTGGATCAGAAATCCATTTTTGAATTGGGTATAATGTGTTCGTGTGTGGAGCATTGGATGGTTATGTTGATTTTAACAAAAAAGTTAAGGATCGATTTTCCAAAAAGTCGGTGGAAAAGGAAAGCATCACCGCAAATGATTGTGGCGTGGTGATTCATTTGAAGCTCGTGTCAAATAGCCTGTAGTTGTTCCAATCCCCGTTCCCATCGTGAAAAAGAAAAAAACCATGGTAGAAAGAGGAGGTCCGCTCCTAATTCCTTTCCCAAATGTACCTTTTTAGAAGCACGCCAGAAATCACAATCAATTTGCTCGTGAAAGAAGATTTACTCGACAAGATTTGCGTCAAAATTTTGCAAGAGTGAACCGTGGCTGAAGTGTCTCAGGAATCACGAGACGATGTAATTGTTGATATGTAAATGCGTAATGTTTTGAGCAGCCTAGGATGCGTACAGAGGGGGAAGTTTCGTGGCAAGAGAGGAAGACAAATGGCTTCAAAATTTGGAATCATAATGTTCTGTTGAATTTTGCTGTTCATGGGAAGGCAAATCCCACGCAGAAAGCAAACGTAGCCGTTTGGCGGTCCAATGCGGTTGTCCAAACGTAGTTTCTTTCAAGGCTCACCTACTCGTTTTTCCACCCCCCCCCCCCTTAAAAGTGAAAAAAGGATAGGGTGTCACAGCAGTCACTTGCTCAGAATTCAGTCTCACTGTTCCCTCTTCATTCGTCTTTTTCATTCCCTTTTTTTATTCGATACCAAACTCTTGGACCAAGCTTGTGCACCCAACAAAACAATGAACCACCAAACCTTTTCCACCAAGACATAGCCCCCCAAACACCTCGGCCCAATAGTAAAACCCCCACTACGTAATTCAAATAAAAAAAATGAAATATTGGGAATCAAATTGACACAAAGAGGGGTCAGTTAGATATTTTAGCAGTTACTAGTGGGGTGGTAAAAGGAGTAGCCTTTAAGGAGGAGGAGAAGGCGAAAAATCGCCGGAATTGGTGAGCAGTCGGCGCAAATGGGTGTTGTAATGATGTAGAAGTTCTTGATACAGATACAGATGAACTTACTTTTGCTTATATGTCGCCCACGGTTTGCTTTTTCTCTCTTCTTCCTTTCCTTGGAAAACAAAACAAGGCATCCTGCGGTAACTTGTTCCCTCGACGTGTCCTTTTGTCGGCGTTGAAAATCTCTTCTCCCAACACACATACTTCCAAACACCAGAAAACTTATATCGGAAAAAGCAAAATCAGTTACCTCACTCTCCTGTACCTCCCCCACCCCCCCCCCCTTCCTGCCTCCTCGTTCTCACACTTTGTAGTTTATTCAATTATTCGTAAATAACCGTACTCTCCAAACTCTTGTCTCGTACTTGTTTCCCTTCGCTTTCTTGCGATCTCAGGTTTTTTCAAATTCAGTTCCCTTGTTTCGCAATTAAAAATATGAACTTTATCAGGAAACCGATTATTCTAATCGCGGCATTCGCTACATTAACAGGTTTTCTTATAAAATTACCTGCATTGCTCTGGTTACCAACCCTGCCATATCCGACTGCACAACTCACATTCTTGTTCAGTCTCGGTGGTCAGACTCACGAGAAAGAGCTATTCTGGAACAGAATCGAAGAGAAGAGACTAATCTGCACTGAAACCATTATTTACAATCTTATCCGCCCAAAAGAACAAAAACAAAATCAAGCAACTCCTAAGACATTTCACAACGACACGAAAAAATAGAAGACCAGAATTAAACTCGCATCTTGTCATCTTGTGCATGCACGCTAGCTTCATCAGTCTTGAGAGAGGTGCGTCAAATAGGAGGATTGATCACATCAGGGTAAGGTGAACGAGAGAAGGCGAGCCTCACCAGCAACGACATTATAAGAAGAGGCACGATCATCAGTATCATCGGCGGCGGAGGCAACGGTGGCAGAAGCAGCGGCAGAACCACCAGTGCGACGCCCAGGAACAGCAGAGTTATCGTCCCTTTGAGCCCAAAAAGGCTACCATTCTGCATTTTCTGGTGTCAGATCGACGGCGGTTTTATGATAAAGGGAAAGAAACGGAGAGAGCATAGCAGAAGAAGAAGAAGAAGAGGGGAAGGAAGGAAGTGCAAGCTAGAGAGGTCAGAGTGTGGGAGGATTCGTTTGTGAATCGAGGCCTTGTCTTCATTCGACCAACCATTGAATTGGATTCAACCACAACGGACACGCTACACCGTATCTTTATTTTCAGGCCTTCCTATGAAAATTCAGGGTCATTTGTGTAATTACACACAGTCGTCGTTCCAAAATTCAGTGCGCCATCCTCAAAAATAAATACACAATTGGTGTTTTGTAACTTACCAACGTTATACTTTATTGAAAAATAAAAACAAAAGATGCATTCATCTTTTCGCACATTGAATGTAGACTGCATCATTAATTTCTAACATTTTCCTCGTTGGGGTTAAATCTTTGCGTGCCCCTTTGTATTTTTTATCCTGGCTTAATATCTTAGACTCTCTCCTTTTTAAATTTTAATGAATTGAATTTGTTTGTCCACTTCCCTTTACTATCCACTGTATTGAAAGCCGGTTCACACCGAGGAACCAGTCATGACGCAAGCCCGTCTGAAATACAGATACTAATCGCTAGATCCAGAGAATATTGAATCGGTAAAAAATATGTCAACCCGATGAAAACTGGTAACATCCCCACATCAGCAAGTTAACTCATTGAACTAGTCATCTACTGCATTCGGTTCTAATTATAAGAACCAGCTGACTAATTTGAGAAGATTAAGAAAGTAAGTTGAGTTAGTTATTTATCCTAAATAAGTATTATTTTTTCTAAAATATTCTTACTAATCAAGTATATTGACTAAAACTATAATTATTAGAAGAACTATCTTGGAAAAAATTAAGTAAATATGAGAGATAAAGTGAATTGGAGTCTCATATTTAAGACCAAAATAAAAGTCAAATAGGGTCTTATATTAAGGACCAGAGGTAGTAATACGTGACGTTATTAGTATAAAAATTAGTTTGATATTTAATTTAATTTTAAGTATAAAATTTAATCTATTTTATCTCTCATGTATAATGCCTATGTTGTAGTGTAAATCTTTATGTCTTAAATGTAAGACTCATTTGCATTATAAAATAAGTCATATATTTGGGATTATAGAGTATTATTATGGCTTATGATAGAATTTTTTATTCCTCAAATTTGGACGAATTTTAATTTTAACTCTTCTAGTTTCAAATCATGGGTTTCACCAGTAAAATGATTTAGATATTTATTAAATTATAGGAATTTATATTTTAGACGAAAAGAAATTTGAAAGATAAAAAACTTATAGTTTGAAATTTGATGACCTAAAACCAAATCGAGGACAAAGTTGAGGCACAGACAATTATATTAATCCTATTATTATTTTAAAAGTAAAATAAATTTTTTTGTTTGCCAAAACTTAGTTACTAATGTTTCTAAGCCATGATTTATACGGGTGAGAACTGAGACATATGAAGAATAATTGAATAGAAAAAAGAAACTTACATGTGTTTTAAAATAATAAATTATAAAAGTGCTGCGAAAAAATAAATTATAGTACATGTATATTTTTTATCTTACAGTCATTTATTTTTAAGTTTTAAAATTAAAAAAATTTATTAACTTTTTAAATTATATTTTTTATTTTAAAATAATTTAATATGGTTGGGTAAATTTTAAATTTATGAATAGGACTTAATACTTAATAAGCATACAATTGAAATTCAAAAATTCAATAAAAATGAATTTCCAGTTATTAAAATTTAATAACCCGAGATTAACTAAAAAAATGACAAGATTAATAATGTAATGGACAAAAACCAGAGTTTACGTTTTGATGCGAGAGCCAAAATTCCTTCTTCACAGATCACCCCGATTAAGCAGCCGAAAATGCCTTCATTTTAGAATATCCTGGTGAATTTAGTTTTGATTTCAATCTAAACTTCTTTCCGAGGATGTTGCAAATCAAGGTTGCTGCCAATGGTTTATTGCTTGCAGACATGTGATTTGAGAAAACTATAGGAAAATTAAACTTTTATATAATTTGTATTGTTATATAAACATTTATTCTTATGATGCTAACGTCGAGTTGTCCCAATAACAACCTCCTCGTCACAGCTAAAGGAGGCTCTGGGTTTAAGAAAAACCATGGTGACACGATATGCTCATTGGATCACTTTGTGCAACCAATATTAAATACTCTATCTCTTTTAGTATATGCCTGTGTTTAAACTGTGTAAAATAAAATAAAAAATACTTGTATATATCACTTGTGAACGGTTATGTGCATCTCTTTATAGCAATACCAATAACAGATTGAGTTTTTTCTTTTCTTTTCTTTTTAAAAAAAAGAATAATCACATAAGGGGACCTAATTATAAATACATAAAAAATGCCACTGGTTTTTTAA